GAAGGTGCCGGCTGAGGCTGGGGTCTCATCTGAGACCTGACTGGGGAGGGATTTTCTTCCAAGTTCCCATGTGCTGTCAAGACTCAGCTCCCTGCGAGCTGTGGGGCCTCGGGCCTCGATGCTCAGCCGGCTGTGAGTCAGAGGCTGCACTTGGTTCTCTGCCACATGGGCCTGTCCAACAGGTGGGATGCTTCATCGAAGCATGCATCTGAGAAGGCAAGTCTGCTGGTAAGACAGAAGTCAGTCTTTTCTAACAATCACAATTGCCTTATGCTGTCGTGCTGAACCAAGAGAAGTAACGGGAGATGACGACACAGGCCAAGAACACAGGAGCAGGTATCGCTGGGGGCCATCCTGGAGGCTGCCCCAGAGTGTCACCAAGAGGACACACTGCTCCAACTTCACCACAACCTCAACCACCCAGAACGTTCTAGGACTTAGAAATTACCTGTACAGCAGGGGTAAAAGACCGTCTCCTATTTTAATGACTTCTTCTCTAGTGTGGTGTTCCCCCCAGGGCCACCTGGGTCCTTTGCTTTCAGCTGCTGCCAATTAATTTCCCAAATGGTGTCAACTGGGAGCCGTGTAAGGACATGCCCCCATCGGGGCTCTGAGAGCTGTGAGTGGAGCCCTGATTGGGAGGCAGCGTCCCTGAAGGGGTTTCAGCCTCAAGAAGCTTCTGGTATTTGAACAGCAACTCCAAGACCTGAACACCCTACTACCTGTACCCCTAGCACTTAGGAACCAATCTTCTCTTAAAGCTTACTACAAACGGATTCACATTTTGCAAATTTTACTTTCACTGTCAGGACAATCCTGTAGGATACATATTAATGTCCCCATTTTACAGATAGGAAACTCAGGATCACAAGTGTGAAGTCACTTGTTCAAGGTCACTTTGACAAAGTGGCAGGAAAGAAAGTGAAAGTGTTAGTCGTGTCCAACTCTCTGCAACCCCATGGACTGTAGCCCTCCAGGCTCCTCTGTCCATGGGATTCTCCAGACAAGAACACTGGAATGCGTTACCACTGCCTTCTCTAGGGGATCTCCCTGACCCAGGGATCGAACCCGGGTCTCCTGCATTGCAAGGAGACTCTTTTATCATCTGAGCCACCGAGGAATTGCTGCCCCCTCTTTGCTCTCTACCGCCTAAGGTACCCCGGTTCTCAGCTGGGGCCTCCTAAGGCTCCATAAACACCCCACCCCACCTCCCCATCCCCACCGCAGCACTAAACATTACGGAAAGGGTGGACCTTTTCCCTTCAGTTAGCTGGACGGTCTCCCCTGGGAGTTCCAGAAATCTCGGCTCAGTGACCTTTATTTCCTGGTAAAAGAGGTGAGGATGAAAAGTCACCTCTAAGTGGCAGGGGGTGAAAGGCTATAGAGACCACAGAACATGGTTTTAACCTTTTTGGGATAAAGCCCTGAACTGCTTTAAGGGGCACAAAATATCACAGAATCTGGGGAGTCAGCTTTCCCTAAAGCCTCTGAGAAAGGGGTCCCTGGAGCCCTGAGAAGTAATCTGTGCCCTACCGGAAGGGAAGTGATGCACAACGTCCCGGTTTCCCCCATGAAGTCAGCAATCGTGGCCAGGCCATGCCCTTGGAAGGTCCCAAGTCGGGAAGGAAGGACGGACAGGGTCACACACGATTCACAGTGGCTGTGCCCAGGGCACCCAGGAAGCCATTCTGTAACTGCTCAGAGGCCCTAAGGAGCCAAGCCTGTGTCTGTGGAGCTTCAGAGCCTTGTTCATTTATCCCCAAATGTGGAGCGCCTCAGTCGAGAGTTGTAAACGGGACATACAACCCTGCCTGTGCAGACAGTTCATTTCAGCAGAGGATATGCTCAGCCATGGTCACTTAATTACTTAATCACAGTTGGCAGCAAAGTCTAGGAAGAGCACTAAGGTGTAAAGGGTGTTCCCAGATGGTGCTAATGATAAAGAATCCCCCTGCCAATGCAGGAGATCCAAGAGACACAGGTTCCATCCCTGGGTTGGGAAGATCCCCTGGGAAAGGAAATAGCAACCGACTCCAGTATTCTTGCCTGAAAAATCTCATGGACAGAGGAGCCTGGAGGGCTACAGTTCATGGGGTTGCAAAGAATTAGACATGACTGAGCTACTGACCACCACCACAGGAACGGCTGCAAAGGGTTTTAAGCAGAAGAGAACCCAGTCAGACCTGTGCTCTGAGAGCTGGAAGAGGTGGGGAGAATGGCCAGAAGCCCATGCGAGGAACCACCTGGGGAGGGTGGGATGGAGCCGGAGTCTCTGGGCAGGGAGATCATCAGGCTGCGGCCTGGTTTAGCCACAAGGCAGGAAGAAGGGGTGATGGGGAGGACGGCTCAGTCCCAGGCACGTTCTCAGCCAGAGCTGCTGCGTGCCTGCAGCAGGAGAGTTCTGGATGGTAGCAGATGGCACGGATGTGCAGGATGCGGGGAGCAGGGGTCACAGTCAGCCCAGGCCTGGAGCGGGCCATGGGCAGCGTGTGTGGGGTCTGAGGACAGCCCTTGAGTGGAGACCAAGTTTGCAATTTGGACTAGAAGGAGCCAAGTAAGTGCGTCTCAGGAGGACACCTCCCCATCCCCACCAGCACCAGGTCTCTCTTCCCCTCCCTCCGGATGGAGCAGCAGGAGCACCTGGCCTCCTCTCAGCTCTTGCAGCACTGAAAGCAATTGGTGGGGGGTGGGACCATCTGTCCGCTGGTCAAGCCTGTGGCCAATGCCTCGGCCAATGCTGCCGAGGGACCTGGGAGAGGCAGTGCTGTGCCCTCAGGGCCATCTGCTGGGCCCAGGGCAGAGACCCCAGGATCGCCCAGCACGGGGCCAGAGCGCCAAGCCCAGCTCACCACCAAGGACCCAGCAGGAAGACAGGCCAGCCCTGCCTGCTCACTCCATCCACGGTCTCCTGGCAGGGACCACCGGCCCCTCCTGAGTGGGCCTCCTGGCCTGGTTTTGTGTTTCTCCTGTGTGGGGCCTAATCATACCCTCTGCCCTGAGTTACACCGACACCAGGCCTGAATTCTTTGCCTCTTCCGGGAAACACAGTCACCAACACAAGGAACATATGGGGACTTCTCTGGTGGTCCAGTGGCTAAGACTCCACGCTCCCAATGCAGGGGGTCTGGGTTCAACTCCTGGTCAGGGAACTAGATCCTGCATGTGCAACTGGGACCTGGTGCAGTCAAATTAACAACAAAGACAGATGAATGGCCTGAGAAGATGCTCAACGTCACTTATCGTCAGACAGACGAGAATCAACACAATAAGATATCACATCAGTCAGAACGGCCACCATTAAAAGGGACAAGTACAAATGCTGGAGGGAATGGGGAGCACTGCAGGTGCAGCTACCATGAAAACTGTACGGGGCGTTCAGCGGTCGGACTGCACCTTCTGGTGCGGGAATGGTGAGGGTTTGATCCCTGGTTGGGGAGGTGAGATCCCACATGCCTTGTGGCTGGGAAACCAAAACAGAGTTAATGTTATAATGAACTGAATAAAGACTTTAAACAACCCAAATGTTCATTGACAGATGAATGCATAAAAGATGTGGTACATACATACAGCAGAATATTTCTCAGCCACAAAAAAGAATGAAATAATGCTATTTGCAACAACATGGATGCAACTCGCGATGATCATAGCAAGTGAAGTGAGTCAGAGAGAGAAAGACAAACACCAAATGATATCATCACTTATATGTGGAATGTAAGATGTGATGCAAATTAACTTACCGACAAAACAGAAACAGACTCACAGAGTGCAGACTGGTAGTCGCCAAGGGGGCGGGGGTGGGACACGGATGGTGTGGGGGTTTGAGATTAGCAGATGCAAACCGGGACACAGAGAACAGACCAACCAGGTCCTACTGTGTAACACAGAATGCTATATTCAATACCGGTAATAAACCATAATGGAAAAGAATATGAAAAAGATACATACGTATTTGTATAACTGAGTCACTTTGCTATACAGCAGAGAATAATACAACATTGTAAATCAACTATACTTCAATAAAATAAAATAAAACTAAAAGAACACAGGAATGACCAAGGGAACCTGGCTGACTCATCATAACTCTCCTCACCTTCCCTGCTGGGGTCTCCTGTCCAACCACCAAAAGTGGGGGGTCTGTCTATCCAGCTGAGGACTGGAGGGAAACAAACCCAAAGGCTGCAGCCTCCTTCAGTCCCAAGTGGGACACCAGGCCTGGCCCATTGCCCAGCGGCACCCCTCTGCTCTCCTCACCGCCCCTTGGCTCCATTCCCATCCCCTTCATGGTCCCTACCCTCCCTTTCCTCCCCAAACACTCACCTGCTCTGTCCTGACTGCAGGGCCTCAGCTTTGCAGGCCTGCTCCCCCTCTCCCTCAGCCAGAATTCCGAGCAGGAGGTCCCGCCAGGTTCCAGCAATACCTTCTCCTTCCTTCAGGCCCAGGGGCTCTCCTGGGGCCCGGAAGGGCTGCTGGGCACCCAGCCTCTCTGAGCTGCCATCTGCAGTGGATACACCTCCCTCAAAGCCCCACAGGGAGCTCTGTCTCCCAGCTCTTGGGCCCATGCAGGCTTCTCCTCTCGGCCCCTCAGAACCTTTACCCTCTCCACAGGAGGCGGAGACTGGGACCTGACCACCAGGCTAACTATGAGGTGAGGACCGTAAGAGCGGCTGCACCCTGCAAACACCTCCGGTGGGGAGTGCGGTCTGACCCCTTTGCTGCCAAGTCGCTTCAGTCGTGTCCGACTCTGCAACCCCATAGACGGCAGCCCACCAGGCTCCCCCGGCCCTGGGATTCTCCAGGCAAGAACACTGGAGTGGGTTGCCATTTCCTTCTCCAATGTGTGAAAGTGAAATCTCTGTCGTGTCCGACTCTTCGCGACCCCGTGGACCGCAGCCCACCAGGCTCCTCTGTCCATGGGACTTTCCGGGCAAGAGTACTGGAGTGGGGTGCCACTGCCTTCTCTGTCTGACCCCTTTAGCCCCCTGTAATCAAACAGCAAGGAAGACAGCCTTCTGTTTATTTAGGCGCTGGCACCCAGGCCCTCCTGTAGTGACCTCACACAACCCCACAGGCAGGCCAGGGAGTTTACATCAGCCCCGTTTTACAGGAGAGGAGCCAAGGCTCAGATTCATAAAAGGACGTGTCCGAGCTGACTTGGGTCACGGGTGGTGGGCTGGGGCAGGAACTGGGCTGCCCCCCAAAGCTGCAAGTCTGCTGACACTGGGCTGTGGGGTTGCCGAGTCCACGGCGAGCGGCACCTGCCTGAGCTGGAACCGTCCGGGCCACGAGGCCCTCAGGCGCCACCGGGCCCAAGCGCTGCCCGCCACATCTGCAGCACCGAGTCCCGGCGGGCCGTGTCGGGCAGGTGTTTGATGCGGAACCAGTGTCTGGGAACGACGTTCCCGCTGGGCGTGTAGAGCTTCTCCCCCCGCTGGCCCAGCAGACTGCGAAGGGCCAGGTTGCCTGACAGAACCTTCTCGTAGAATTCCACCCCGCCCCGGGCATAGGCTGCAGACAAGGAGGCCGTGCGGCGGTCCAGCCAGGCTTCCAGGGCATGGGTGAGAGAGTCCGTGGAGAAGGCGTAGGCCACGAAGCCTGCCACTGCTGCCACCAAGTTGAAGGCGGCCCGCAAGCTCATGGGGCCCCCGTAAAGCCCCAAGGCGTGCTTGGCCCCCACACCCAGCGCCCAGGTGCCCACCAGGCAGGCTGGGGCTGGCAGGGCCTGCAGGGCGGCCGCCCCACTCTCCAGGTACACCACCTCCTTGGCCAAGGCAAACTTCTGGGCCTCGTGAGACAGGGTCAGGGCATCTCTCAGCCGGGCGCCTGCTGGGCTCCGCCAGTCCACGCGCTGCCCGTAAACCACCACGGGCCGGTCAGTGTTGGTCACTGGGCCACCCAGGAAGCTGGCGGGGATGCCCACGACGGCCCCACCAGGGAGTCTCGGGAAGCCGGCACTCACAGGCTGGAAGGTGAAGGTGGTAAAGGCCTCGAAGTGGTGGCCCGAGGGGATGCCAATGTCCTGCTGCACCTCCTGGAAGAGCCTCTCCAGTTCCGGGGACAGAGGCGCCGGCTGGCCCTGAGGCCAGTACTGGTATAGCCATTGGACCACAGGATTGGGGAAGAGGTGGTACGAGATCTGGGCCCCGAACAGGCCTGCGCAGGAGCCCACCAACAGGCCCGTCCTGTGTCTCTGCACAAACACCGTGGCCCGCCACAGCGGACCTGCCATGAGGGCTGCCACCACTGTAACCTGGGCCAAGAGAAAGAGAAGTGAGCCAACAACTGCCGAGGTCGGCCTGCAGACCAAACACCCCCAGGCCATATTCCCCTTTAACTGATGCCATACACACAGGAGCCGAGAAGTGGCCCCACTCTGACTCTGCATCACCGCTTACCAAATGTGCGCGTGACAATGGCCCACGAGGGGGTCTGTGCTGAGTCAATAAACACACATGAAACAATCAGGGTCTGCAAGGAGCAGACGCCCCTCGGCCAAGGCGAACTTCCGGGCCACCTGAGACAGGGTCAGGGCTTCTCTCAGTTGGGAGCCCGCTGAGCTCTGCCAGTCCACTCGCTGCCCGTAGACAACCACGGGCCTGTCAGTGTTGGTCACTGGGCCACCCAGGAAGCTGGGGGGGATGATCCTGATGGCCCCACCAGGGAGTCTCGGGAAGCCATGGAATGGCTATAATTACAACTTTGATTCCCACGGAATGGCCCCAAGCAACCCACCTCTCACCCCACTGTCATACTGAACGTGAGCACTAAATTAAACACGAAACACATTCTCAGCTTATTCCGTCCTTACTATATGCCTGACACAGTTCTGAGACCTTTACACATATTATTTAACAACTGAATCCTTACAACTCTGCGCCCTTATCATTATGATGTGCCTATTTTAAAGCGGTGAACACGGAGGCACAGATAGGCCTCAACTAGTAACGTGGCAGAGCTATGGGCAGAACTATGTCCCTCCAAATTCATATGGTGAAGTCCTAACTCCAGGAGGAGCAATGTGACTGTATTTAGAGACAGGCTCTTTAAAGAGGTAATTAAGTTAAAGCGAGGTCATTAGGATAGCCTCTAATCCAATCCAGAGTGGGACATTCGGACACAGAAGGACTACGAGGACGAAAGCCAGAAGGTGGCCATCTACAAGCCAGTGGGAAAGGCCTCAGAAGAAACCAGCCCCGCTGACACCTTGATCTTGGACCTCGGGCCTCCAGCATTTCAAGAAAACACATTTCTGCCACCCAGTTCTTGTCACTACAGCTCCAGCAGACAAATACAGGCCCAGTATTTGAACACAACTGTCCACAGCATATTTTCCACTATAGATTATTTTTTATGATAAATTATAAACACGCAGGAAAGTGGAAAAAATAGTGTATTATAAACTAATTTCAATCTGTCAAGTCATGGCTAGCTTTGTTTCATCTCTACTCAAACGCATAATCCCCTCCAGCTAGTTTATTTCCAAACACAGTAGGGCCATACTATTATTTCATCCGAAAATATTTCAGTAAAATTCACAATTGTTTAACTTCGGCTGAAGCTTACTGTCTTTCTGTCTGTAAAGTGTTTACTTAGCAAGTAAATTGCTGGAAAGAAGGCAGCATATTCCTTGAGAGTCACGTCACTGTGCCTTTTCGCCAACGAGGCAACCAAAGCCAGGACAAAAAGGGTCCAAACGTAGGTCCTAACTCCCCCAGGACCCCAGCACCAAGGCCGCGCGCCCCAGGGAGGCGTGGGAGGGGGTGCCGCGCATCTCGCAGGCGGCTGGGCGGAGGACCGCAGGACCCTTGCTCCAAGCGGCATCCCCTAGCTACGCCCACGGCTGGAACACACCGCCTAAGGGGCCCGCAGGGGCCCGCCTGTCTGCCCGCCCCCGCCGCGCGCTCACCTCCTCCGCCGCCGCGCCAGGTACGCCGAACACGTGGGCGGGGCGGGGCCAGGCGCAAAGCACGCCGGCCGGCTCTGGGGGCGGAGACAAAGCGGCGGGGCCTTAGGGGGCGGGGCTGAGGCAGCGTGCCCGCCCGCTGGCTTTGGGGGCGGGGCTCCGGGGGCAGAGACAAAGGGGGCGGGAAGCTCGGGGGCGGGAAGCTCCGGGGCGGAGGGCGGGGCGGGACCCTGGCTGCTCAGCCCCAGCCGGGTCTCCTCAGCCAGTGAACGGCCTTGGGCGGCTGTCAGGGCCGTCCCTGTTGAGCACTGGAGAGACCAGCGTCAGGGCGTGGGTCAGGAGGCCTCTGGCGGACTTCCGTCGGAGCTCACGCCCCGTCCTCCCGCCAGGTCCCGTCCTTTCCCGTCGGGAAGCGCTCTGTGCTGGCTGGCGGGGCCCTGCCTCAGCTGCTCCCAAGTGATCCGCACTGCACGGTCCGCGAAGCGGCGTCACGCCTGTCAGCTCTCCTTCCCAGCTGCTGTGTGAGGGTCAGGGGTCAGCCTGCCGGGGCCTAGCCCATCCTTCACGCGTGTCTGTGGCTGCTGTCCCTTAGAGGGCAGAGGGGAGTAGCCAGGACAGAGACAGTCTGTCCAGAGCCTAAAACACTTACTATCTGGCCACTTGCAGAAGAGGTCTGTAGACCCTGAAGAACAGGTGAAGTTGTGGGAAATTTGCTGGTGATGGACCAAGCTTTGTAAAGTCACAGTGAAGTCTGAGAGGCCTGCAAGGGGTGGGTGATTGATTGGGACTCGATTAGAGGATGAACAGGATATGAATACAGGGATAAGCATCCATGATGGATAAAAGAGCATCTGATGGTTGCTTTTTTTTTTTTTAATTGTGGTGATGTACACATACTTACCATCTTGACCATTTTAAAGCATATAGTACAGTGGTAGTACAACCGTCACCACTGTCCACCTCCATAGCTCTTCATCTCGTATGCTGAAGCTCTGTATCCATCAGAGAATAACTTCCATTCCCCTTTCCTCTGCTCTCTGGCATCCACCATTCTACGTTCTGTCTCTGTATTTTGACCACTAAGTATCTTCTGTAAGTGGAATCAGAACTTCCTTCTTTTTAAGGCTAAAGAATGTTGCACCACGTGAATATGGCAGGTTTTGCTTATCCACTCACCCGCTGATGGGCGCTTGGGTTGCTTCCGCATTTTTGCTATTATGATCTTGCTACTGTGAACATGAGTGTACAAATATCTCTTCGAGGCCCTGCTTTCAATTCTTTTGGGTAAATACACAGAAGTAGAATTGTTGCATAATATGTTCATTTCACTTTTGAAGTTTTTGAGGACCTGGCATCCTGTTTTCCACAGAGGCTGTACCGTTTTGCATTTCTGCCAACAGTGCTCAAGCGTTCCTATTCCTTCACATCTTTATCAATGTGTGTTATTTTGTTTTTTTGATAGTAGTTATTCTAGTATGTGTATGTGGTGGTATCTTGTAGTTTTGATATGCTTTTCCCTAGTGATTAGCGATTTTGAGCACCTTTTCATATGCTCCTTGGACATCTGTATGTTTTCTTTGGAGAAACGTCTATTCAAAACCTTTGTCCATTTTTTAATTGGGTTGGGTTGTATGTGTGTGGTTGAGTTTTAGGAGTTGTCACAGATATGTGATGCAAATATTTTCACTCATTCTGTGGGTTACCTTTTAAATCTGAGGATATTGTCTTTTGATGCACATTATTTTTAATTTTCATAAATTCCAAATCTCCTATTTCTGTTTTGTTCTCCATGCCTTTTGTGTAATATCCAAAAAATTATTGCCAGAGCTAGTGTCATGAAGTTTTTGCCCTATGTTTCCTTTTAAGAGTTGTATAATTTCGGTCTTTGTTCCATTTTGAGTTAATTTTTGAATATGCTGTTAGGTAAGGATCCATGTGGATAGACAGTTTTCTCAGCAACACTTGCTGAAAAGACTATTTTCCCCATTGAATAGTCTTCACACCTTTGTCAAAAATCATTTGATCATATATGCCAGGGTTTATTTCTGGACTCTTTATTCTGTTCCATTATTATATGTGCTAAATCACTTCAGTCATGTCTGACTCTTTGCAACCCCATGGACTGTAGCCCGCCAGGCTCCTCTGTCCTTAGAACTCTCCAAGCAAAAATACTGGAGTGGGTAGCCATTCCTTTCCCCAGGTGATCTTCCCAACCCAGATATTGAAGCCAGGTCTCCTGCATCACAGGTGGATTCTTTACTGTCTTAGTCATCAGGAAAACCCTCCATTGATTTTTATGTATGTCTTTATGCATGCACTCACACCGTTTTGACACTGTAGCTTTTTAGTAAGTTTTGAAATCAGGGAGTATGAATCCTTCAGCTTAGTTCTTTTTTCAAGATCATTTTGTGTATTCAGGGTCCCTTGAACTTTCACATGAATTTTAGGATGAATTTTTCTATTTCTGCAAAAAATATCATTGGGACTTTGATAGGGATTGCTTTAGTCTTTAGATTGCTTTGGGTAGTACTGCCATCTTAATAATATTAAGTCTTACAGTTCATGAACATGGGTTGTATTTCCATTTATTTATGTCTTCTTTGATTTCTTTCAGCAGTGTTTTATACTTTTCAGTATATAAGTCCTTCATCTCTTTCGTTAGGGTCATTCCTAAGCATTTTATCCTCTTGTTGCCATTGTAAATGGAATTGCTATCATTTCCTGTTCAGATTGTTTATTGTTGGTGTATAGCAACTGACTTGTGTGTGTCGACTTTGTATCCTGCTGGTTTGCTGAATTCATTTATTAGCTCTAACAGGTTTTTGGGCAATGTTTAGGGCTTTTTAAATGTAATTTTGTATCATCTATGAACTGAGATAATTTTACTTCTTCCTTTCCAATTTGGATGCCTTTTATTTCTTTTCCTTGCCTAATCTGGCTAAATCTTCTAGGACTATGTTGAATAGAACTGGTGAAAGTAGGCATTCTTGTCTTGTTCCTGATCTTAAGAGAAAAATCTTTCAGTCTTTCACCATTGACTAGGATGTTTGCTGTGTATTTTTCATATATAGGTTTTATTATGTTTAGGCAGTTTCCTTCCATTCCTAGTTTGTTGAGTGTTTATTCATGAAAAGGTGTTGAACTTTTCAAATGCTTTCCCTGCATCAGTTGAGTTGATCATGAGGTTTCTGTTCTTTATTCTGTTGATGTTGTATATTATATTGATTGATTTTCATATGTTGAACCATCCTTGTATTGTAGGATTGAATCCCACTTCGTCATGATGTATAATCTCTTCAACATGCTGCTGAATTCCTATTTTGTTGAGAATGTTTGCATTAAT